GGCGTGGCTGTGACAAGCCCAGGTGAGAGATCTGTGGCCCCGGAATGTTCTGTATCCTTGTGGCCAGCGGTGCCGGGACCCTGGTTGGGACACTGTAGCAGAATTTCACAAGATGTTGCCCTGGGCGGAAACTGGGGAAAGGCTCCGTGGGACTCTGTGTGTGTGTGGGTTTTTCCCCAGCAACGGCATGCGGATCTGTAATTATTTCAAAATGAAAAGCTTAACCAAAAATAAATCCTCACTAAGACACTGGAGATGTCTCTTAAAGTGGGGTTTCCTCTGGAACCTGCATCGGAATTACTCAGGGAGCCATTTAGGGGAGCTCCTGGACCCCACCCCCAATTAAGAAACCCGATTTCCTGGCCAGGAACCCGAAACCCCGGCCAGCGTCCTGGGACTGTCCTGCGAGTGGACACGAGTCTCCGCAGCGAGGCTCCTGCTCCCTCGAGTCCGGCCCTGAGCAGAGTGGTTTGGGGGGGAAATCATGTCCACAGCTTGTTCGCTCCTCTGCCCGTTAGAGCGGAGGTCTGTGTCCCCGCCCCCCGGACCAGGGCTGGCCCCCAGGACTGGTTTGGCTCTTTCAGAAAAGCCCTTTGGCCCGGTCAGTGTGGCTCAGCGGTTGAGCATTGACCTCTGAGCCAGGAGGCCACAGTTTGATTCCCAGTCGGGGCACAGGCCCGGGTTGCAGGCTGGATCCCCAGTGTGGGGCGTGCAGGAGGCAGCCGATCCATGATCCTCTCTCATCACTGATGTTTCTATCTCCCTCTCCCTTCCTCTCTGAAATCAATAATAATAAAAAGATATTTTAAAAAAACATGAGGATGCTAGCTACACCTTTGCACCAACAAAATAAAAAGAAATCTAGATTATTCTCTAGAAAAAAAGCAAACACTGAGATTGACTCAAGAAGAAGTAGAAACAACCATCGGAAGGCGGGAAGGGGTCAGGACTCTATCCATAACGATGTCACCAGCCCTAGCGGGTGTGGCTCAGTGGATAGAGCATCGGCCTGCAGACAGAAGGGTCCCGGTTCCATTCTGGCTCAGGGCACGTACCTAGGTTGCAGGCTCCTCCCCAGCCCCGCCCTGGTCAGGGCTCCTGCAAGAGGCAACCAATCAATGTGTTTCTCTCTGCTTTCCCTCTCTCTCTATCTTTCTCTCTCTTCCACTCTCTCTAAAAATCAATGGGCAAATATCCCCAGGTGAGGATAAAAATAAAAATAAAAGAAACTTTGGTTACATGTATGAGGGTTCATCTATGCACTGAAATATATGTAGCCTTTCCAAGTGAAACTTTACAATCTTAATTAATGATGTGAGAAATTCTCATTAAATATCTTAAGTCAAAATAGCAGTTTGCAAGTCAGAGATAATCACTATTGAAGTTTTTATTGAGTTTTTCTCCACATATATTCATATACTTTAATGATAATTTTGGTTCTACTTTATCTCTGTGTTGTAGGAACTCATATTATTATTCTTATAATTGTATTCTAAAAAAAAAAAAAAAAAAAAAAAAACCCGGGTGAGGATTAAAAAAAAAAAAAAAAAAAAAGTCACAGGCCCCGATGGTCCGACCGCAGCTTTGACCAAAATGTCCCGGGATCAGACCAGATGTGCTCGCGCCCGAGGCCCGGGAGGCTCCTAAGAGCCCAGAGTGGAAGAAGCCAGGGCTGGCCGCCCGGCTGCCTTTGCAAAGGCAGATGCAGAAACCCTCACGAGTGCTGGGATTTCCTTGTTTTATTAAACGTCTGCAGTTAAAACCTCGGTTTGTTTGTTTCTGTCCGGGCTTTCTTGTTGCCCAATAACTTTCCTTGCGGGGACAGCGTCCGCCTCTCCTCCGGGAGGTGTGGGCTGAGACACAGCGTTCCCATTGTTTCTTCGTTTATAAATAGTTTGCGATTTCTATTTTGATTTCCTTCTGTGGCCGAGAGTCCCTCAGGAGGCTGTCCTGTTTTCGGGGGGGGGGGGGGTGCGTTCCCTATTCTGTCGCCTTCCTCTTCCCTTCCCAGCGATTCCATTGCATCAGCGACAGGGTCGTGTGGGCCCTGCTGTGAGCTCACCGATGTCCCCGGTGCCCAGCGAATGCTCCGGCCTCGGTGGAAACCGCGGTCTCTGCTCGCTGGTCACCAAGTTCCATCCGTAGATCTGGTGGGTTACCTGCTCAAATCTGTGTTATCCTTGACGTTTCGGGTTAATCCTCACCAAGGATATTTTTCCCATTGGTTTTTAGAGAAAGTGTACGGGAGGGGGAGGGGAAAAGAGAGAGAGAGAAACATCGATGTAGAGAGACACATCGATTGGTTGCCTCCTGCATGTGCCCCAACAGGGCCAGGATCAAACCTGCAGCCCAGGTATGTGCCCTTGACTGGGACTCGAACCCCAGACCCTTTGGTCCGAGTGCCGACGCTCTCACATTGAGCCACAATGGCCAGGGCCATTTCTCCAGGGCTCGGCCGGGGCTCCGCTGGCTGGTGTCGTCCCTTCCTTCCTTCCTTCCTTCCTTCACTTCCCGTGCGGCTGCGGTGGGGGTGCAGGTGGTGGGAACGCTGCCTCGAACGGGCACCGAGGATGTGATGTGATGTGATGTCGGGGCACAGAGGTGGGCAAGTGCGGAGCTGGCAGCTCGGAAGCCGAACTGTTTCCAGACCAGGGTCCTTCCTTCCACTCGGTGAGGAGGGAGGGGCCGGCTGTGCCCCGGGGGTGGTGAGGGGCTGGTACCTGCAGGCTGCACACGGGGGCGGCGGGGGGGGGGGCAAGGATCAGGGCGGACAACTGGAGGGTGTCTTGGTGCGATGACCAATGGGCAGAGCTGGCCCGGGACCAGCCAGCTCACTCCGGCCTCAGCCGCGGAATCCCCATCATCGGCCTGGACCTCCCTGGCGAAGGCTGTGGGCCCCTCCTCAGAATAAAGTTTTTAAAAATATATATTTATTGATTGATTTCAGAGAGGAAGGGAGAGGGAGAGAGAGAGACAGGAACATCAGTGACGAGAGAGGATCATGGATGGGCTGCTTCCTACACCCCCCCAAAGTGGGGATCGAGCCCACAACTCAGACATTTGCCCAGACCAGTATCGAACCTCGACCTCCTGGTTCAATCACCGAGCCACGCCGGCCAGGCCGGAATGAAGTTTCTAAATACATAAAACTTATCGGGTTAGAAAGGAAGCCAGTTATAGTGAAATGCACCATGAACATGGTTTGCATGTCGTGTGCACGTGTATATAAACATATCGCAGACATGGTGGCATCTGTGCTTCTTCATTCCAGGACCCCCCTCTGCCGGCCCCGGCGACCAGAAACGGTCCTCGGAGAGTCCGCGAGGACGCAGCCTGATTCGGAAATAGCCGTCACTTCAGCAAAGTCGCAGATGCAGAACCGAAGACCGTGAACCTGTGCTCAGAGGTCAGTGAGCAGCAAGGTGTGCCCTGTCCCACCCCAGCTCCTGGCCTGGCCTGGCTGTCCACAGTCCCCCCCCCCCGTCCTGGGGCCCCCCCCAGCCCTGGGCAGCCTGGGGGGTGCAGGGCCTGGAGTGGAATCTGTGTCCGTCTGTCCTGAGCGCCGGCTCTGTCCGTGAGTGTGCACTGGCCCGCAGCACGTGTGGTGATGACCGCGCACTCACACCGCGCCTGGGCCTGGCTTCCATCCATTTCCTCCCCGTGTCCTGTGCTCCTGGGCCCTCCGCCCTGCTTCCTGCCCCGTGAGACACGGCAGCTGTCTGTCCAGATTCTGTTTCCGCTCACCGTTGGGAGGTTGTCCACGGTCTCTCTATTCGCCGAGGGCTGACTAACCTGATGTGCATATCTGAGCTCATCTCTCCCCACCCGGGTCCAGAAGGACTCAGTATCCAGCCCTGGCCAGTGTGGCTCAGTGGATAGAGCGTGGTTCTGCGGCCTGAGGGGTCCGGGTTCGATTTCCGGAAAGGGCATGTACCTCGGTTGCAGGCTAGATCCCCGGCCCTGGTCTGGGCGCGTGTGGGATACAACCCATCGATGTGTCTCTCTCACCTCCATGTTCCTCTCTGCCTCTCCCCCTCCCTTCCACTCTCTCTAAAAATCAATGGAAAAATATCCAAGTATCCGAGAGTGAGGATTAACAACAGCAATCAGCACCCAAACTGCCATCAGGAAGAAGACGCAGGGCTTCCCAG